ACTGAAACTTGGAAAGATTTTCCACCAAAATTTCAAACTTTACAAACTGTCAGAGCCAGCCAATGGTGTCGTTTCCCTCCAGATGGTTGATGATGTCAGACTCTGTTTCTATAACAACACACAGCCGGCATCTGTCACTAAAGTCCCTTTGTGGTTCATTGACCATACAGGCAGTCAGTGTGGGAAACTGAGCTCTACGGCTTACTCACAGCGACTACAAGGCACGTGTCAAGACTGCTACATCTGGACAGCATCATGATTATTGTCTTGACTTTAAGTGCAATGAATGGGCATCACAATGTTCTGTACCATTTTATTCTTTTGCAAAATCCTGTATTTTTTGATGAAACAAAACAGAAGAAACATTGATTAACTAAAAAAATAAAATAAAATATCTAAACTATCAAGTCAAAATAGAGTGGAGTCAATTGATGATTTAAGGTTTTGCCAAAAAAAAAAAAAATCTCATATTTTTTATATTGATTTTGATTCTAGATGTATTTCATACATTAAACCATAGCTATTATTCCACCAACACGTGTGATGGGATGATCAGCGTGTGCTCAGTCAGAGTCATTGATCCCAGCATCAGACAGCAGATCTGCTCTCTACAGGGTCACCACTTTCCCACATTCACACAGAGCTCTGTGAGTCTCTCTCCATCACCCCCCCAGTCCTCCACCTGTTCCCCAGAGATCTAACCATTGTCCCCCAGGCAATGAAAGCATTCAACGTGCTGCAGCTCCACACGCCGGATTGTCTCCCCAAGCTCTCTCATTGGCTACAGACTGTGAGAAACTCCAGCAAGACCAAGACCCACACATTCATATGGAGATGTGGGACTATAAATAGGAGGGAAGAAGCCAGCAGAGATCAGATTCTCTCTACAGAGACCTCTACAGCACAGAGATCCAGCCATGGCACCTACAATCACTGCAGCAATGACCAATTCTCAGGAGCATCTGACTCTGACCCACAAGGTAAATTGAAGATTCAAGAAGATTTAAATATTGTTAATGAGATGTTATCTTGTTTTATATTAACACTATGTTCCAGAATAAGTTTATTAATGACTTTCTTCTTCTTTCTGCAGCTCAAAAAGCCTCTGGTGGAAAAGTTACGCAGAGAGCGAATCAACAGCAGCATTGAGCAGCTCAAGTCTCTCCTGGATCCAGAGTTCCTCAAACAGCAGCCAGACTCCAAGCTGGAGAAAGCAGACATCCTGGAGATGACAGTTTGTGTCCTGAGACGACTGCAGCAGCAGCATCAACAGCCCCAGAGAAGACTGCTGAGCCACTTCAACAAGCTACAGTCTTCCTCTGATAAGAACCTGAGAGAGGCTGACTTCTCTCTTCTGAGCTCCACAGTCCAGACCAGCATCACCAAAGACAAGAGTCCAGTCCACAGCGCCCTCTGGAGGCCGTGGTAGACACCTACATTCTGGAGTTACTACCAGACAAACTCAGATGACCACATTGGTCAAAGATTACTGGACTGAATTCTTTGAAATTGTATGAACTTGTTCTTCTGTGTGTACAGAAGGTTGTATTTTGTGTTTTTCTTGGTGCAAGATGATATTTCCTAAGGAAATGACAGCAACATAACATCTTTCATGTTAAGAAAGAGAACATCTTGTCATGCATGTTGCATGAACATATCTGATTGCATCAGCAATTATTATTTTACCTCACTATACTTCATGTATTGGTAGTATATTCTATGGTAACATCTGTTATCTTTTGATTGTTATTGATCACACTGATCAGAAACTTTAACTGTCCTTTTTATGGACATATTGTCATAATTGACTTTAACTCACTTTAATGTGTGATCACTTAAAACTGATCTGTTATAAGATCTAAATGTTTATTCTTTTTTTCTAAAAGGTTTAATTAATGTCACAATTTCTCTGTGATACTTTTATAATTCACTGCATGTTCCATATTACTAAAACATACTGAATTGGTGATATTTGTTACCTCTTGATTAGTAATGATCATTCTGATTGAAAATATTAATTGTCCTTTTTATGGACATTTTGTCTTAATGATTTTCTCTCACTTTATGTGAGAATTAAACAATGATCTGTTATAAGATCAATATGTTTATCCTTTTACTGTCAAAGGTTTTATATTTTGAAATTCAGTTGAATTTAATGGTTATAAGAATGATGTGATCTGTTTCAAGATCAGTTTTTACTATGTTTTCATTTTGAAAGTGAAAATGTTTTGATCCATTTGTGAAGAAACTCTCAAAGGACAGTGAGTACTGTGTCCTCAAATATTGTAAATCGTTTGTCTTTTATAAAGACAGTTGTTCCTTTACTCTCTCTGAGTACAGTGTGTCTTGTAGAAATCTACAAGTTGTTGTTGTGATGTATCATCACCTCTAGTTGGAGCTTTCTTACTTCATGTGGCTCATTGTGCCTTGTTGAATAAACAAACACTTCCAGCTGAATATCTTGTGTTCTCATGTCATTTTGTGTCATTACTTTCTGTATTATAATGAGAGAGAGAAATTCCACATTTCTATTTCTTTGTCACTTCATTAATAGAGGCCTCCATTAATATTCCCACATTGGATTGACAAATAAAGGTCACATTTAGCACATACAGTAACTGTTTATCCATAACATATCTGTTTAGAGAAAAGCCAAAGCAATGTGGTTCAATTAAGTCAAATCATGAAAGTAAATGAGACAAAGCACATTTCAAAGACAGTTTCACTGAACAATTATGCTGCTGTAACTGTCAATTTCAGGTATTTGAAAAACTTTAATGTTAACAATTTCCCTCTTTAAAGAGGTCATACATTGTGTCTTAGATGCATAATACCACACACTTCTATTGTTCCTCCAGTGAAAGCAGTGGGAAACCAGAGGAAACTCACTCACAGAGCCCTGTGGGACAGTAGATCCAGACCTTTGCCCTGAAGAGACAGAGATTAAAAGGACCCTGGCTCCAAAACTGAATCTTCCAAACTTCTTTCAAATCATAATCAATATTCAAAAATGTTTTACTTCTATAATGGCAATATGAACCATATTGCCTTTTTCTAAAGTTGGGGTTTGAAAACTAATTGAATATGTTTCTGTCAGTGAAATAATTTGTGAAAAGGGATTGTTTTTCAGAATTTCTAGTGTCGGATTTTGCTTTGTTTAATTTCACTAACATGTTGGCCTTATAATAGTTTGCCTTAGAAGACAAGACACTAGAAAATTGTTCAGTACTGATACTGAGACATCAGTGTTTAGTTGAAAGAATATTACTAAAACTACTATCACATGTTGACATCAGTGTATACTAGTTATATTTACAATAAATTTTTAAAGCATTTCCTTTTTTCCATTGCTCCTAATGACTTTATATGTTTTCGAATTAAACCATGATGAACTGTAGACTGTAAAAAAGACAAAGAAAAACATCAATGACCTCTAAAATACACAGAATCCTGAAAAGGTGTATTTGGATTTAGAAAAACATCTAAACTTCTTTCAATGTACAGACTGTGGGAAAACCCTGGAAAACAGAGTTTAGCATGATTAGTATCCTCAATCCTACCAGCAGCAGACTATTCTCCAAAGGAATTTGGCACACTTCAGGAAACAGCTACCCCCCATGAAACTTCCCACCCTCAAGTGGTAAACTGTAATTTAGATTTAATGGTCAGTAATAAGGCCTGATTGTGACTGGAAGTTGAAAATATAGCCTAGGACAATGATCAGAAATGGAAAACATGAGATGATAAGTCATTATAGTGAAAATGGGAGAGATTTTCCAGCAAAATATCAAACTTTAAAAATTGTCAGAGCCAGCCAATGGTGTCGTTTCCCTCCAGATGGTTGGTGATGTCAGACTCTGTTTCTACTACAACACACAGCCGGCATCTGTCACTAAAGCTCCATTCAAAGTCCTTTTGTTGTTCATTGACCACAGCATTCAGGGAGTCAGTGTGGGAAAGTGAGACCAACTTTCTACCCACACTGACTACAAGACACAAGCCAGAAGATGTTGTCATGTCTGAAAAGAAATAAAGACTCCTGTTCTTAAGTTTTGAATATAACTTTTAAATGCAATGGGAATGTCAATATTTTCAACACATAAAATGATCTTTCCCTAAATGCAGTAATTATATAAAGATTTGAGAAAAAAGACAAGACTGATATAAAGTGAAAGTTCTAAGTGAATAATTGGGACAATATGGAGGATAAATGACAAAACTGGCATTTGAATGGCTTATCACACAATGCAAAAACACTGATATAAAAATCTATTTCTGCTGATTATTGAATGCAGTTATATAGATATGCAATAATTTTTACCAGTCAATACAAGACACAAGTCAGAGGACTGTGTTAGATTCTGGACAGCAGATTGATTGTTGTTCTTAGGGTTTTCTAAAAAGATAACTTTTAAATGCAGCATGGTCATCAAAAATATTTTGTAACAACTAATAGAATTAACTTTTCAAAAAACAGTATTTTAATTATTTTTTAAAAATTAGCAAAAAAGTCAGATCCTATTATATGAACACTGAAACTGACTTACTGAGAAAGTTTCAAGATAAGTGACATGAATTGTACTTCTTTGATTTTAGTTAAAACTTCAGCCTCAGCATTTAGACTCAAAAATCTGTTTCCACTATGTATTTATTTTAGTTATTTCTAAATTATTAAGGCCTTCTTACCCTACATAAACATAGTTATCAGTCCCCCACGTGTCTGAAGGGTTGAAGAGCGAGTGCTCAGTCAAAGTCATTGATCTCAGCATCAGGCAGCAGATCTGCTCTCTACAGGGAAACCACTTTCCAAGATTCACACAGAGCTCTGTGAGTCTCTCTCCATCACCCCCCCAGCCCTCCACCTGTTCCCCAGAGATCTAACCATTGTCCCCCAGGCAATGAAAGCATTCAACATGCTGCCGCTCCACACGCCGGATTGTCTCCCCAAGCTCTCTCATTGGCTACAGACTGTGAGAAACTCCAGCCAGACCAAGACCCACACATTCATATGGAGATGTGGGACTATAAATAGGAGGGATGAAGCCAGCAGAGATCAGATTCTCTCTACAGAGACCTCTACAGCACAGAGATCCAGCCATGGCACCTACAATCACTGCAGCAATGACCAATTCTCAGGAGCATCTGACTCTGACCCACAAGGTAAATTGAAGATTCAAGAAGATTTAAATATTGTTATCATATGTTATCTGTCTGAAATTATGTTCCCGAATAAGTTTATTAATGACTTTCTTTCTTTCTGCAGCTCAGAAAGCCTCTGGTGGAAAAGTTACGCAGAGAGCGAATCAACAGCAGCATTGAGCAGCTCAAGTCTCTCCTGGATCCAGAGTTCCTCAAACAGCAGCCAGACTCCAAGCTGGAGAAAGCAGACATCCTGGAGATGACAGTTTGTGTCCTGAGACGACTGCAGCAGCAGCATCAAGCTGTGGACTCAGCAGCTGTTGATCAGGGCTACTCCAGGTGTGTCCAAGAGGTGACACACTTCCTGTCCAAGGAACAGGTGAAGACACAGTCCCAGAGAAGACTGCTGAACCACTTCAACCAGCTGCAGTCTTCCTCTGATAAGAACCTGAGAGAGGCTGACTTCTCTCTTCTGAGCTCCACAGTCCAGACCAGCATCACCAAAGACAAGAGTCCAGTCAACAGTGCCCTCTGGAGGCCGTGGTAGACACCTACATTCTGGAGTTACTACCAGACAAACTCAGATGACCACATTGGTCAAAGATTACTGGACTGAATTCTTTGAAATAGTATGAACTTGTTCTTCTGTGTGTACAGAAGGTTGTATTTTGTGTTTTTCTTGGTGCAAGATGATATTTCCAAAGGAAATGACAGCAACAATATCTTTCATGTTAAGAAAGAGAACATCTTGTCATGCATGTTGCATGAACATATCTGATTGCATCAGCAATTATTATTATACCTCACTATACTTCATGTATTGGTAGTATATTCTATGGTAACATCTGTTATCTTTTGATTGTTATTGATCATACTGATCAAAAGACTTTGTCCTTTTTAAGGACATATTGTCATAATGGACATTAACTCACATTAATGTGTGATCACTTAAAACTGATCTGTTATAAGATCAAAATGTCAATCCTTTTTTCTAAAAGGTTTAATTAATGTCACAATTTCACTGTGACACTTTTATAATTCACTGCATGTTCCATATTACTAAAACATTTTGTATTAGTAATATTTGTTACCTCTTGATTACTAATGATCATTTAGATCAATAATCTGAATTGTCCTTTTTATGGACATTTTGTCTTAATGGACTTTCTCTCACTTTATGTGATTGTTGAACAATGATCTGTTTTAAGGTCAATATGTTTATCTTTTTACTGTTAAAGGTTTGTTTAATTTCACACTGTTACAGTTTTCCAGTGACAATACAAGTTTTATATTTTGAAATTCAGTTGAATCTAATGGTTATAAGAATGATGTGATCTGTTTCAAGATCAGTTTTTACTATTTTTCATTTTGTTTGCAAAGTGAAAATGTTTTGATCCATTTGTGAAGAAACTCTCAAAGGACAGTGAGTACTGTGTCCTCAAATATTGTAAATCGTTTGTCTTTTATAAAGACAGCTGTTCCTTTACTCTCTCTGAGTACAGTGTGTCTTGTAGAAATCTACAAGTTGTTGTTGTGATGTATCATCACCTCTAGTTGGAGCTTTCTTACTTCATGTGGCTCATTGTGCCTTGTCGAATAAACAAACACTTCCAGCTGAATATCTTGTGTTCTCATGTCATTTTGTGTCATTACCTTCTGTATTATAATGAGAGAGAGAAACTTTACATTTCTGTTTCTTTGTCACTTAATTAAAAGAGGCCTCCATTAATATTCACACATTGGATTGACAAATCAAAGTCAAATTTAGCACATACAGTAATTATTAATTTGTTACATACCTGTTTAGAGTTAAACCCAGCAAGGCAATGTGGTTCAATTGAGTCAAATCATGAAAGTAAATCAGACAAAGCCCATTTCAGAGATGGTTTTGCTGCACAATTATTCTGGTCTTACTGTTGATTTCAGGTATTTGAATGTAAAAAGTTTAAAGTTAACCATTTCACTCTTTAAAGAGGTCAGACATTGTATCTTAGATGCATAATAAGAGACACTTCTATTGTTCCTCCAGTGAAAGCAGTGAAAAGCAACATGTTTCAAATCATAATCAGTATTCAAAACATTTTTCCTAGTAAAAAAATCCCCTTCACCAAAGTAACATATATTGGGGGTTTGCAAATTAATTAAATATGTTGCTGTTACATAATTTGTGAAAATGTACTGTTTTTCAGAATTTCTAGAGTAGGATATTAGATTTTGGTTTGTATCACGTTTGTCTACTGTCTGAGTTGTTTGTTGATTTTGTATTTTTGTCTAGAGGAATGGAGTGTATTTTACTGCAAACCAAATCTACAAATAAAGTAACCTTGACCTTGACTTGAAAAAGAGAGAGAATTCTGAAAAAGATGTATTCGGATTTAGAAAAACGTCTAAACTTCTTTTAATGTAAAGAGTGTGAGTAAACTCTGCAGAACAGAGTTTAGCATGATTAGCATCCTCAACCCCACCTGCAGCAGACTATTCTCCAAAGGAATTTGGCACACTTCATGAAACAGCTGCCTCAACCTCCCACCCTCATCCATAGAGCTGAAAGTTTATCCAGTTACTGATAGAAAGGAACAGTTAGGATTGGTTAGTCAAAATGTGTGACAATGATTGGAAGTTCACTAATGTCATTGCAAATCAAAAGAGTTCAATTTTTATAATAACAGTTTCTTTGTACTTTCAAACTTTGCAGTCAGAGGCAGCCAACGGTGTTCTTTCCCTTCAGATGGTCGGTGCCGTCAGGCTCTGTTTCTACTACAACACACGTCCAGTGTAAGTCACAAAAGCTCCATTCAAAGTCCTTTTGTTGTTCATTGACCACAGCATTCAGGGAGTCAGTGTGGGAAAGTGAGACCAACTGAGAACTTTCTTCTCACAATGACTAGAAAAGACATGTCAGAAGACTGTGCTACATCTGGACAGCAAAATGATTGTTGTTCTCAAGTTTTCTGAAATAACTTTTCAATGCATCATGGGAATGTCAATATTTTTAACTCCCAAAAGAATCCATTTTCCAAAATACAGTATTTTAATAATTGCATATCCTAACTACCCTCTTTACTATTTTAAAAGAGAGAATTTTCTACATTTTCTGAATTGTTTGATGCCTCCATTATTTTTCATCAATTCAGAACACAGTCTAATTATTTATCCATTGCATAACTGTTTAGTGTAAAGCTAACTAAGTTTTTATGAATTTGAATAAAAAAAAAAATAGTGCTGGGTTTACCAGTTTTATGTCAATATGGTTACATGAAGAAAACTAAGTCATCAGACTTCTTTAGAACAATTTCTAATTCAAAGACAAAAAGTTAAAAGTGAACCATTTCCCTCCTTAAAGAATTCAGACACTAATGGGATGCATCATACGACACACTTCTATTGTTCCTCCAGTGAAAGCAGTGAAAGGACAAAGTGTGGGAAACCAGAGGAACCTCACTCACAGAGCCCTGTGGGACAATAGATCCAGACCTTTGCCCTGAAGAGACATTAAAAGGAGCCCGGCTCCAAAACCAAAATTTATTTCAAATCATGCCTTTCGTTGTAAATGTTGGTCTGATATAAATGATCAGTTCCACTTTTTAGAAAAGTATGACTTTATCGAATGAGAACCAATACCTTTAGCACAATGTTTGAAAAGAGCTTCTGGAATTTACACTTTGTAAGTTAACCAGTTAAATATATTAATGACAATTGGTTAACTTTACTAAATACAATGTTTATCAGAATCACAATCTCATGGTACTCAGACTCTGATCAATAAACACCTGAAAATGAAAACTACTGCTCAAGGTTCATATACTACTAAGAGAAATATCTCAACCACTATGCTGTAAGGGAAAGTGAGAGTAAAACAGAACTGACATTGCTCAATAATTGAAGACCATTTTTGAAATGAATTCATATATTAGGAAACCAAGTCAATTTGCACATAGAACTGTGTCCAGCATCCATTCCTGTCACATTAATTATTACACAAAGGGAAGAAATGGCATATTCAGACAATCTGTCCTGATGTTAAAACACCAACTTACTGAACAAACAGGAGATTTTACAATTGTACAATATTGATTCCATATCTATGTCTCTGAAATGTGCAGCAAATTATTTGCATTTTCAAATAATACTTAATTATATACGTTTTCACTTTAATGTGTTGGTTGATTGGTTGTTCTAAGGGGGTGCCCACAATGTTTGTTGCAAAAAGGAGGAAACTCAAAAAGTCGATTTGTAGAGGGGCACATGCCTATTTTCTGCTAATTGATGGTATGTGGGAAAGCTCTGGAGGGCAGAGTTGAGTGTCAATGACATCCAACCAGCACACAGTCATTCTCCAAAGGGATTTGGCACACTTCAGGAAACAGCTGCTCTCAAGAAGCCTCCCACAAAAAGGGTAGAGATGAAATTTACATCTAAATGATGGTCAGAAATGAGGCATGATTATGACTGGAGGTTCAAAATGTAACCAGCAAGAATTAATAGAAACTGAAAATATGAGATTACAAACCATTTTGGGACAACTTCGTCCAAATAAATTTCAAATTTTACAAATTTGTTAACTGTCAGAATCAGCCAATGGTGTTGTTTCCCTCCAGATGGGTGGTGATGTAAGGCTCAGCCAGCATCTGTCACTGAAGTCCCTTTGTGGTTCATTGACCATACAGGCAGTCAGTGTGGGAAACTGAGCTCTACCTCTTACTCACATCGACTATATGGCACGTGTCAAAGGACTGCTACATCTGGACAGCATCTTGATTATTGTCTTCACTTTATTCTAATGGTCATGAACAGGCATCACACTGGTCTCTCAAATCTTACTGTTCTGTAAAATGTAGAATTTTAGATGAAGCACAACTGAAGATACACTGAACAACAAAGACAATTAAATAAAATATCTAGCTAAATGACCCATTCAAAACAAAGTGATTTTACCTGCTACATTTTAAGTTTAGGCTGAATAAAGCCCAACAAAGAATTATTTTTTTGTCTTCATTTTTATCAAAAACTTATTTCAAACATGACACCATAAATGTGTTTTCCCAACGTATGTGAAGGGATCATGAGCGTGTGCTCAGTCAGAGTCATTGATCCCAGCATCAGACAGCAGATCTGCTCTCTACAGGGTGACCACTTTCCCAGATTCACACAGAGCTCTGTGAGTCTCTCTCCTCCCCCCCCCCAGTCATCCACCTGTTCCCCAGAGATCTAACCATTGTCCCCCAGGCGATAAAATAATTAAACGAGTCAATAATATATTGTCTCACCGAGCTCTCTGATTGGCTGAGACTGTGAGAAACTCCAGTAAGACCAAGACCCACACATTCATATGGAGATGTGGGACTATAAATAGGAGGGATGAAGCCAGCAGAGATCAGATTCTCTCTACAGAGACCTCTACAGCACAGAGATCCAGCCATGGCACCTACAATCACTGCAGCAATGACCAATTCTCAGGAGCATCTGACTCTGACCCACAAGGTAAATTGAAGATTTAAGAAGATTTAAATACTGTTAATGAGATGTTATCTTGTTTTATATTAACATTATGATCCAGAATAAGTTTATTAATGACTTTATTCTTATTTCTGCAGCTCAGAAAGCCTCTGGTTGAAAAGTTACGCAGAGAGCGAATCAACAGCAGCATTGAGC